GTGCCAACGAAATATATTCCATGTCCGCTACGTATCTACACTGAGAACTCGCCCGCGTACATGAGCAGGCCCGTCCTTCCCGCCGTTGCAACCCGCCCATCTCCTTCGCCGCCGAGTCCGTCGGGCAACTCTTCGGCTTGAAGTTGTTGAAGGCCCGATCCCGCAGCTGGCCCTCCCAAATCAGCCAGCAGTGGTTGTCCTCGAGCGACGCCTGTCCGTGCTCCCCAGGCACGGCAGCCTTCCCCTTGCCCTTCCCGCTGCCGCCCTCGCCATCTTCCGCGCCCTCGATCTCGACGTCCTCCGCGCCGCGTTCGCGCGCAGCTTCCGTCCACGCGATGCGCCGGAGCATGAGCTTCTTGTACTGCCGGATGAACTTTGACGCGCCCTCGACGTAGACCATGCTGAAGGTCGGATGGAAGATGCAGGCGCCCGTCAAGTTCATCTGCTCCGCGTTCTTGCGCACCTTGAAGCGGTGCGACGGGTCCGAAAGCGTCTTGACCCTGTACGGTAGCCGTTAGCTATGTGCACACGAGCGGATACAAGGTGGACGTACTTGAAGACGGCGCCGTATATGCCCTTCTTCTCTTCCTCGACCTTCTTGGTCTCGATCTTCTCACGCCGCTGCTCGTCCGTGAGCTTGCGCTCCGTGTTCATCTTCTCGTGCTGGTGTTTGCGCATCGCGACTTCGCGCCTCACGCGCGCTTCCACACGCGTAGGGTCCTGCACGGCGTCCGACGTCAGAACCTTCATCAGGTTCGCCAAGCGGACTGTAGTGGCTCCATTAGTTACTTCGTAGGGCATAAAAGGGTAGATGCACACCTTTAGGAGCGTCCGGTGGGATGAGACCCATACGAATCCGGTCCCGCTTGTCCTGCAGCTCGGCCTGTCGCCGCTGTTTCCGGACCTTCTTCTGCTCCTATATACAGCGCGCATAGTCAGCACAGCGCTAGTAGACGCTGCGGCAGTCACTTGCCTTCTTGGTCAACTTCAATGGCTTCAGGGTGATCTCGTTCTTGTCACCTGGGGCGGGTATAGGGATGGGGTGCTGAATATACAGCGTGATCGGCGAGTCCGCATTACGGATGTTGAGCGTGGACATCCCCATCTCCAGGTCGTCATACGTCTTGTGTGGCAACAGGGCTGCATCCCACCACTCGGTCAGAGGAGGTGCGTCTCTCTACGGCGTGACAATCAGTATCCGCAGACCACAAGCTGCGTCAAAGGAGCGACGTACCCTGATGTTCTTCTCAAGCGTCTCGAACTCGGTATCTAAACCAGCCTTCTTGGCGCTCTCCGCGATGCGCTGCTTCAGCTGCTCGAGTTGCTGTTCCTGCCGGACCTGGTTCGCGATCTGCACATATTTGCCCTTCGGGTTGAAGCGGAAGTGTCTCCCCGTGCGCTCTTTCGGAGCACCCTCGAAGCCGCTCTCGGCAGGCGTGACCGTGCCAGAAGCGTACGGGTTGGATATGGACTCCTTGGGCGCGGTCGGCGTAGGAGCTGGCGGGGGAGTCGGTGCATTCCTAATGTTCGCCTGAAAAGCGTAAATTAGGATATGTATAGTGTATGTGTGAGGAAGATGTACCTTAATCGACGCGAACTTCGGCTGCATGGGCTTATACTTGTCCTTTTTGGACTGCGGGGCAGCGGGCGTGGTGTCGAGCAGGAGCGGATGCGCTGCCATCTTCAGACCAGCCCCCTGCTGAGCGGGTTCTGGGGCCAGCGTCTTCTTCTTGCCGGCTTGTGGGGCGGACTTCGAGTTGCGTACATGAGCGAAGGTGCGTCTGGTAAACGTAGCGAACGCACCATGTACGGGTTGTCTTTCACCGCCAGCTTGCTTTGCGCCTCGGCGACGCGCCGCTTCGCTTCCGCAATACGACGCGCCATGTCATCCGGAATGGGCGGAGATGGAGACGCCGCGTTTGACGCAGACGCGGATGCCACTCTCGATGATGCGGGGATTGGGGTGGGGGCGGCGGTAGCTGGTGCAGAGCTTGATGCCGACGCCGACTTCTTCATTGCTGCTATCTTAGCAGCAATCTCGGCCCTCTTCTGGGCGATGAGAGCGTCTGCCGACAGCTTCGAACATGGCCGTAGTTAAGTTGCGCACGAGACCAACAAGGAGGAAGACATACCGATGAGCCTGCAGAATGTCCATTGGATGCAGTCTGAGCGGGTAGAAGGGGGTTATAGCGCAAGTTCGAGGCATGGTAAGAGGCATATTCACCTTCACGAAATGGAGGAACGGCACTCACAGTATCGCTGCAACAAGACCGTTCCAGTCAGGACTCGGCGAGCGGCAAAGAGCCGTAAGAGACACACCTTTTCAGCTTCTTCGACGCGCTCGAATCCCCGTTGCCTTCCCAGGCTCGTTTGCGGTCGCTCATGGTGCTGGTAGCTGCGGTAGAGGGTGGTGGGACGGGTCCAAGGAGCAATAGCGCGCGCCGCGTGCGCATGGCATTAGCTTTGTTAAGCGGTCACTAGTAATTATTGATACGCTCTTATTCCTTCACTTACTCTGCTTACATTCCCTTTTGTAATCGTTCTAGTCTCGGCGCTTGTATACGCACCTCCTCTTCTCCACCCACCTCCACCATGCCCCTCGCCGAAACCGTCCCGGGCCTACGACCGCCGCCCGCACACGTCGTCCGGCCCCTGCTCGCTTCCCGCGCGTCGAAAGCTGCTCACGACGACTTCTGGCGCGGGCTGCAGCTCGTTTGGCATGCACTCGCCCGTCGTTCCCCAGATCCCGCCCCGATCTCCAGACCGCCCTCCTCTGCCATCTGTCGCGCTCTTTCGAAGAGGTCTTTGCCCGTGCTCTGCTCCGCGCTCTCCCTTCCTCTGTCCCCGCCCTTCCTCTGTCCCCGCCCTTCCTCTGTCCCCGCTCGCCCTCCGTCCCCGCTCGCCCTCCGTCCCCTTGGTCCGAGCTATCCGGCAGACTTGCACGCATTCTCGCCCGCTTGCTCGCGCATCCATTCTTAGCGCGAACAGGTGCGCCACCGACGAGGTCGGTCATTTCGCTCCTTCGACCGTGACCCCCGGGGAACCTGCCGCACATCCCCTCTTTTCTCCGCCGACGCTCTCCATCATCCTGCCCTGCTGCTGCTGCAAGTGCAAAGACGCAGCGCGACTCCTTCGTGTGCGGCGCTCGATCTACACTTCCGCACTCAACCCGTCCTCGCGTCCTCCGCCATCGTCTCGCGTGCG